TTTTCTGTCAATATGGGGTGCTGTGTGTACATTGATGAGGAAAAAAATGAACTTAAATGATTTTAGCATATGGCTGCAATATAACAAAGAGTGAAAAATTTAAGGGGGTCTGAATACTTTCCGTACCCACTGTATATAGGTAAAATGAACATCAAAATGTTTTGTTAAATCATGCCATGTGATACAGTCTTAAATTAGTTTTAACTCTGCAGCACAATCTAGCCTGTAGTCCTGGTGACATTTTAAAAATAATAGCCTTACAGTTGCCATAACGTTTTATGCAATCAGGACCAGATAGTGACTGTTATCTATATTGAGCATACTCATAGTAAGAAACATCTAAGACCAACATTTAAGACTAACAGACCGGTGATGTTCCTAAACTCTGACTTGAATACTGTAGTACAGCTCTGAAGCGTCCCTTCTCTCCCTTGTACTTCCATTCACACCTACACCCAACCATCCTTACCTTCAGTCCTGTCTTTTCGTCATCACTACCATTATTAGTGGAGGAGGGTGTCTCGTCCCCCAGTTGGGACACAAGGACAAAGTCCTCACTGTTGAGAGTGGACACTGAGTCCGAAGACACGCTAATCTTCCCCACCGAGCCCTTGTCATCCATGGCTGCCGCTGTTAAACTCAACCACGCTGCTCATGAATGTGAAACGGGAGGAGGAAGCAGTGGAAGAAGATGAGCAAAATCACCTAGAAAAAGAAAAAAGTAAAATATAAAAAAAGCAGAAAACAGTCATGGTGATGAAATCCATGAAAAGCAATTTTTAAGGGACTGGAAACTTGGCTAACTGTAAACTAATTCCTGAACATGTAAAAGAAACTGTGAGGCTGCTTTACAAACCTGAGAGAAGCTGAGCATTAATAGAACCAGAAGGTGTTAAAAAAAAAAAATACACAAAAAATGAAATAAAATAAAATATAATAAAAGCTTTGTTCAACAGAAGGTGAAATGCGTAGGAGGCTCCATGGATCACTTGGAGCAAATTTGTCTCTCTCTGGAGAATAAAAGAGCGGTATTGCAAAAATAGCTTGATGCAATGCAAAGCTATGATGATGCAAGTGCCATTTCTGAAGAAACATGCATGTGAAAGTGAGGAATTAAGGAACCATCTACCACCACCAACTCAGATGTGTACACCAGGAGCATATTAACCTCTACCCTGTATTTTTTAAATATTTGGCAATAAGGTTTATGCTTATACACATAAAAAGGTGTACTGAATGTGACACACCTCTGCAACGTCACATGGCGGTCGGGGACAGTGCCTCTGGACTGGCAGACCGGGGTGGTGGTCCCTCTTTTTAAGAAGGGGGACCGGAGGGTGTGTTCCAACTATAGGGGGATCACACTCCTCAGCCTCCCCGGGAAAGTCTATGCCAAGGTACTGGAGAGGAGAATTCGACCGATAGTCGAACCTCGAATTCAGGAGGAACAATGCGGTTTTCGTCCTGGCCGTGGAACACTGGACCAGCTCTATACCCTCTTCAGAGTGGCAGAGGGTTCATGGGAGTTTGCCCAACCAGTCCACATGTGCTGCGTGGATCTGGAGAAGGCATTCGACCGTGTCCCTCGCAGTGCCCTGTGGGGGGTGCTCCGGGAGTACGGGGTCCGGGGCCCTTTGCT